AAAAAAAAAAAAAAAAAAAACAGGCGGTCGAGCTACACCGATGGAGAATAGAAGAAGAACAGAGGTTAGAAGAAGCTCGGATGGCAGAGGAGGCTGCTCGTCTGGCAGCCGAACAAGAAAAAGCCAAGTACAAAGCAGCCATGGAGAATGCTAAGGTGGCTCAAAGAATTGCGGAGATTGAGTCCCGGAATAGAGTAGGCATCGAAAAAAGGACCCTTGCGGACTCTAAAGACAAGGATAGTGTGCTCCCGTTGAGGTATAGACGATACAACATTGAAGAAATTGAGGAAGCCACTGAGAATTTTGCTCAGTCGCGCAAAATCGGAGAAGGCAGTTATGGCCCTGTGTATAAGTGTCATCTTGATCATACAGCGGTTGCCATTAAGGTTTTGCGACCCGATGCTGCTCAAGGGAGATCACAATTTCAGCAAGAGGTAAGAAGAATTCTTTTATTTTTGCAAGTTTTCGGATGAAAGAAAGTAGTTTTCAATGTTTTAAAAAGCACCAGCTTTTGCTTATACTTATTAATTCTATATGATTTAGTCATAAAAAAAAAGGTTAACATTTCTTCAAGAAGCTGCTTCTCATTGATTTGGCTTTTTTCTTCTTTTCTCCATTTAACTTAATTAATTTTTAATTTCTATTTTCTTGTGATTTTCAACTACATTATCTAAACATTGGGTTGGTCCTTCACCATTATCTTAAATGAAAAGATGAAAAAATATTCACTCTGTGTGAAAAAAGATTATTTATGGCTTTTTCTCCATTTCTTTTGTTGGAATATCACTTGTGAGTTGTCCCACATTGATTCTTAGGGAAAGTAAGTCTAGCTGCTTATATGCCTAGTGGGCTACTTCTCCAATCACCAATTGGTTTTGAGATGGAACCTGATTACGGTGCACCTAGGCTTACCCTCTTATGATGCACTTCACTTGTGTGGGACCGCACCCTCTTTTCTCTATTCTTACATCTCTATTCTTCATCTTTTTTTGCCAGGTGGAGGTCCTGAGCTGCATGCGACACCCAAACCTTGTCCTCCTCCTCGGCGCGTGCCCCGAGTACGGATGCCTTGTCTATGAGCACATGTTCCATGGCAGCCTAGACGACTGTCTCATCCACCGCTCGGACAAACCCTCTCTTCCCTGGCCCATCCGCTTCCGCATCGCCTCCGAGATCTCAATGGGCCTCAACTTCCTCCATCAAACAAAGCCCGAGCCCCTCGTCCACCGTGACCTCAAGCCCGGCAACATCCTACTCGACCGAAACTTCGTCAGCAAGATTTCCGATGTCGGCCTCGCCCGTCTCGTCCCTCCCTCTGTGGCCGAGGAAGTCACGCAATACCGCATGACCTCTGCTGCAGGCACTTTCTGCTACATTGATCCCGAGTACCAACAGACGGGCATGCTCGGTGTAAAATCCGATGTCTACTCTCTCGGAATTGTCCTCCTTCAGATCCTCACGGCCTGGCCCCCAATGGGCCTTGCGCATCATGTGGGTCGTGCTGTGGAGGAAGGGCGGCTGGCGGAGATGCTGGATCCGTCTGTACCCGACTGGCCCGCCCAAGAGGCACTAGCACTCGCCAGACTGGCGCTGAGGTGTGCGGAGCTCAGGAGGAAGGACCGACCGGACCTCGGGAAGGTGGTGGTGCCCGAGCTCAATCGGTTGAGGGAGTTTGGGGACGAGAGGATGATGGGCCATTGTTTTCTTCTTCCCGTGGTTCGTTCCCCTAACCATAGCCGCGTTTCGGAAAAGAAGGTTGGCCATCTGTGAAAGTTTGTTATGCGGACTTGACGAGTACCATTTAGCAGTTGAAATTTCCAAAATACGTTGATACAATAAAAGCTTTGATGAATCATTACAGTCCTGTCACGGAAGGATTTCATGGTTATTGTTAGCCTTTAGACACACGTCTATATTAGTGTAGGGTAGATAATCCACGTTAAACACACGAATCCTTCTATGACGAGACTGTAGTCATTTCCAAAGCTTTGAGCATGCATATATTTGCCGATTCATAGTTTGAACACATTGAACAAAGTTGTTTCTTGATGCAGGAGATGAAGAGCGACCCTCACGTGGCGGCGTCCATAATCAGCAGTGATAATGGCTTTCAAAGTTCAGTATCGCTACCGGAAAAGCTATCTGGTACGAGTATCATGATCGATCAACTATAATTATCATGTCACCAATTAAAATGAATCGTCTCTTAGTCATGTTGCCACGTTCATCTGAAAAACTAATTTGCGTTTGTGTTTGCAGCTTAGGTTGGAGAGGCTATCAGCGGAAGTAGATGAAATAGGCTGGGGCAAACGAAAGAGCTACGTAGTGTACAATAGTTTTAGGTAGTACTGATAATAAAGAACATAAAATAGTCGTCTTGAGGCAAGAGAAAAAATGAGTAGTATTCGGAAGAAGCTATTTGTTGAATATCAATGGGGGGTTGGTTTTGGCCCACCTATTCTTCATAACTAGTATGATAATGTTGAGATTCATTTATTGGAAGTTTCTCTGATCTTATTTCTTATTTCATGTTGTTCTATATGATCGGCTGGAATTAAATACCATTGAATGAGTGAATTGTAGGTAGTGCTGTTAAATTAAACGAGTCTGGCTCGGCACGGCTCGAGCTCGGCTCGTTAAGGCTCGGTTCGGCTCGAGTTTGAAGCCTTAACGAGCCAAGCTCGAGCTCATTTAAAGCTCGTTTGGTTAACGAGCCGAGCTCGACTCGGCTCGATATGGCTCGAAAACTGAAAATTATGTAATTTTTTATAATTCGGCTCGTTCAAGCTCGAGATCGGCTCGAGCTCGAGGCCTTAACGAGCCGAGCTCGAGCTCGAGCTCAAACACCTTAAGCTCGAGCTCGGCTCGGCTCGGCTCGTTTATAGCCTAATTGTAGGCCAATTTTCTTAGGAAAAAAATACTAATAATAGTAAAATAATGCTATAATTATTTCAGTGAGTAGATTTACAGCCTATAAAAATGTTAGCAGTAGTCATGACCACGGGCCGACTTGGCCCGGTCAATTCCGTGGTCAATGGGCCATGAACTAGCCGTGGTTTTACTCGGGCCAGTTCAAGTTCATATCTCTATACAAATTTATGCTTGGAAAAAGTAGAAATGTAATGATGCCTATGTGACAAATAAGAGTGTGGGGGAGTGACACACGTTCCCATACAAAAACTCGACTTTTGATGAGGAGACCGGCTGGGCAGGGCGCTTTATCAGTTTGCTTTTCTGGTTTATCGTTCATATATTGCAGAGAGATCATGTAGATAGTCAGCAAAGTGGGTTTGTAAGATGGATCGACGCTCAATCTTGAAAGAAGATCGGTGCAGGACGGGTTGTGCGAATTTTTTTGGGCTTCTTATTTCCATAATTTGGGCCATCGACGGGGCCAATATTTATTGGGAGCGATATATATTTTCGTATAAAGGTCCGACCCAGATCGTAAATATATAATGTATGATAATTTTATGCAAAATATAATTGATTTATAATGATTTAATTTGTAATTGATATAAGGTAATTTAGACATATTTTTCAAAATTTATAAGAATTATACAATGTTAGATTCTTTTCCAAAAACTTTCACTTTTTAATAGAAAGTACAAAATTTTCAAATAAAGTAATAATATTTGGCGAAAAATTTTATTATCTGTATCTCTAAAGTTTATTCTATTTAGTAATATACAAATATAGATATATACAGAAAACAAATAATTCCATAAACAGAGACTGTTATTATATTTTACCCAACTAGTACAACACTCGTGTATTACACGGGTGCTTGCTATTTTAATTTCTTAAAATCTAAAATTAATGAGAAAAAGTAGTTTGAAAATTTAAATACTTTTTATAAGAATATATATATTATTATATATTTATTATGACACTTTTTATTTGTGCAACTTACTCGTGTTATATTATACTATTTTTTTTAACTTACAATATATAACTACATTGAATATAAATATATCAATTGAGAAATAAATTTATTTTTTTAATGAATTTTAATAAATATTATTATTTTTTATTATTATAAAGATAAATATAATTTATTTATTTCATATATGCAATATGGATGTCAAATCGAAGATCATCAAAAAATTAGTAATTTGATATATTATATATGTAAAACCGATAAGAAATATAAAAGTTATCAACTTTTAAAATACATTTATAATTCAATAGCTTATTGAAGGAAACAAATCAAAATTCAGGGATATATTAGTCACTTAGTGTCTCACTATGTAAAATTACAAAGAATTAAAGGGTTATATTAGTAAAAGTGATATTAAAATACTTAAGTTAGCTAAATAATATTTATGGAATACCCGAACCTAGATTATTAATTATTAATATATTAATATTATTTATCCAAACCTAATTACGAAGCATGATTCTTCGCCAAATAGGATTCCGAAGCACCAGAAGCAGCCACGTAGGCTCAGCGTATTCGGGAATTATATATAGGGAGGATGTTATAAATATTGACCGATTTGGGTGTATATGCAGAAATCTTTCTCATTATCATAGTGGATCTAAATTAACAAGGCAAAATGCCTTGTTAATTTAATAATTCAAAAAATTAATTCTTTCAAAATTAATTCAAAATTCAATGAGCACTCCTTGCCAGCCGGCGTCAATATCGGCTACCGATGTTTCAGTCGGTACTGTAGCCTATAAATACCATTTTGGTGAAATTACCCATTTATACTGGTTTCATATTGTAAAATACCTGCAAAATACCAGTTAAAATATCTGATATATCAATTTTTTAAAAATTATTTTTATATATTTTTTTATTTATTTGCATAAATTGAAAGCTCTATTCTTTATTTTAGTATGTTTACATAAAATTTATATTTTATATATTATTATAATACTAAATTAATTAATATTTATTAAAATTAGTAACATAGACAGTAAAACCGGCTAAATTTAGTTGAACCGCATGCCGACGGTTCATCCGGTGTAATGATTGGTTCCGCATGTCCGTCATAGGGATGTTAACGAACTGAATGCTCGCGAAAAATGCTCGTTCGAACTTGTTTGTGTTCTACAAGAACTCGTTAATCAGACCGAGTTCGAATAGAAAGTTAGACTTGTTTAATAATCGAAAGAACCCGAGCTCATCAGCAAATGTTCGATAATATTCGCGAACATTAATTTAATATCATGTTTTTGTATATTTACATGATACTTGTTTTATAAAAAAAAAAATCTAAAATAAAAACATATTTTTTAATTTTGTTAGCTTGTTTTAACGAACATATTTATAAAGCTTGTATACTAAATTATTCATACACGAACGAACTCAAACTTTGAAGAATAATTAATAAACGAGCTCGAATATAATTTTTTACTTTGAAAAATACAAACCTAAATGAACCAATACAAACCTAAATGAACCAAGATTTCGTACGATTTGATCGCGAGCCGAGGTGTATCAGGCGGGCCTTAATCAGTGATAACAAACGCGCGTCTAAAGGTGGATAACTAGGTATATCTGATCTAATATAGCTTAGCAAACGTGAAAAATTGTTCCATTCCATTAGAAATCTCCACCCAAACGTATATTTTCGTCTCCAATTTCCAATTTCGATCGCATCACGGTGATTGGTTATACAACTGTAGGCGGTAGCATAAATATCATTTCAAATGCAATTTTTCCTGGGATTTCTTAACTCATATTCAGATCCATTGACTGTGTACGAGCTGGTATCAGTGGATTGTTAATTAGTCGAATTATAATCAGTTTTTAGCATTTAGATCGCGAGCAATGGCGGCAGCAGATAAGCAGAGTGCTTTGGATTACATCAACCAGATGTTCCCCACAGGTGCGTGCACAAATTTTATGTTCTATGATGTTCAGATGCTGATGTTGATGTTTTTGGATTGCATTTGTATTTGTTTGGCTTCAGAATCTTGTTGGACTCTTGCTCTTAGCTGTGTAGTCGTGTAGATTTACCTGAAAGTATGTCTGTGAATGGAAAATCTCGTTTCGTACCGTCTCCTTGAAGTTCAAATGCGATAGCATGCTCTATAATTTCATGCATAGCTGGGAGAAGTTTGGTGCCGAGAAACGAATTAGAATTGATTAGCATTCGTTGAATGTGAACGAATTGTTATGTTGTTGGATTGATTCCCCCTTAATCATTTAATCGGATACATACAAGAAACGAATCTCTGGGGGGTTCAAAATGACGATGAAAAACAATTTTACAGCTGAACCAATATATGGATATGTGTGCATACACAATATGTATTTTATCTTTGTACACATATCAAATAGGTGATATATTGTCTTTCTGGTGATCTTCAGCCATCAGATATTGTCTTTCTGTCTTTAATATATGCTGATAATGAGGAAACTGGTCTGCCTGCAGAGGCATCTTTATCTGGTGTTGAGCCCCTTATGCAGAAGATACGTAGTGAGATCCGTAGAGTAGATGCTGAGATTTTGACAGCAGTTCGTCAGCAGGTTAGTATTTGTGTTTGTTGGTTTCTACTGGTTTGAAGTATCAAATTTGATTTGAATTCATTTCTGTGCGTCATTTGGCAAATTGTTGGACACTACATTCATCATTCATGTAACTGTTTATCTGAGGTTTGTAGCTGAAACATGGTAGGTTTGTAGTTGGATGCTGTGGACTTGGTGTATAACCCACGTAAGAACACCTGTCGGAGTTCATGAGCTGAATTTCAGACTTAGTCAGGCTTGTAAATATTTTAGTTGAGATTGAGCTTAATCCATTTATCATATGTCCATCAACTAATGTTCAAAGTCAGGTTGCTTAAGCTCAGTAGCCAAGACTAACGTGAAGAGTCGATGAGGTTAGCTAGATTATTGTATAGGTTTGTTTTATGACATTTGAAGCTGTATAAAGTTGAAACCATTTTATGAAATTCATTTCGTTCCATTGAATTAGGTTTCTTGGAGAATATTTAGACACTTCACATGAGATGATTCTGTCATATCTTTTTTTATTTATTTGTTTATTTATTAGGATTGCATCAAATTATAAACAGAATTTTTATTACACAGCCTCAAGAGTCTTGGAGTCTATGGATAATATGATTTTGTCTAATCTTTATTTATTTATTTATTTATTAAGATGGTATCAAATTTTAAGCATAATATGTATTATAACGGATAGTGTTTGGATCCAATGTACGAATGCTTCTCAGAAATAGAAGGTTAATCAATTATCTAGTTCTTATACAGAATGCATTTCGTTTACGATTAGTGAAAACAAACTCTAGATGTGCCATGTAGTACTTTCTCACAGGAGGAAGCTATTTTTGTAAACAATATTTCTCCATCATGACACTTGGTCGATGGCTTTATAATTTTACAGAGCAATTCAGGAAGCAAGGCCAGAGAGGAGCTTGCCGCGGCTACTCATGCAGTTCAGGTTCGCTCATTCTTCTGCTAAGTCAGTTAACTTGCAGAATTTGATTTACTTTGCATGCTTCCGTTAATCATTATTGTGATATGTCACTTTCATTCCCAAGCATTTTACGGTTTTGTACAACTACTCCTTTGCTAATTTAATCTTCAATTTGGACTAGGAACTCATTTACAAAATGCAAGAAATAAAAACCAAAGCAGTGCAAAGTGAGTCGATGGTTCAGGAAATATGCCGTGACATTAAGAAACTGGATTTTGCAAAGAAGCATATAACTACAACAATTACTGCCCTTCACCGTCTTACTATGCTAGGTTAGTCTTTCTACTCTTGATTCTGTGGAGAGTTTGATTTGGATTCCTATGAAGTGTTTAGGCTTCAACTAGTTCTGTTTTTCAATAGAAAGACAGCTTACCCAGTGGCTTATTGCTAGGAACATGTTGCATTTGATGCACCATGCAACAAAGTATCATTCTACGTTTGATAACATGTTGCTGTTTTGGTGTATCAGTAGTTGGAAAACACCTGTTGTTTCTCTAACATATTTTGGCTCATCGAAGCTAACTTGAAGAGCTCTAACAGGGATTAGGATTGTTATGATTGCTGTTTTGACATTCAAAGTCTTGATGGACTGATGTTGCCTAAAAGTTTGTTGAATGTTACACTGTTTTTTTTTTTTTTT